GGCTTGGTGAAAAGAAGAAGAGAAAAATAACTTACCGTGAGATATACCGATGAAAACCTTATGTGCTCATTGCATCTGCAAAAGCAGCTGGACATTGCGTGTGTGTGTGTGTGTGTGTAATTGTGTATCTTCTAGAACGCAGTCGTAGTTCTTACCGTCGAAATTATAGTTAAATGTGCAGATCGCTGGCAGTATTTTTGGTTCCTACGTCATAAGCTTCCTCTGCTACATCTCCTGGAAGCATTCCGAGTGAAGATAAGTGGGTTTTTGCCAGCTCAGACGATCGGTCGATGCGGCCAAGTAAACCGGAAACCTGTTTTAAGGTCACCCTAGTCTTTCTTGGTAGCATTTCGTGATCCGTGCACGCTCACCGTTATACGACGGCCTGCGAGGACAGTTTACCGGAACGTCGAGGGTCACATCTGAGGGTATCAAAGCTAACACGACGTTAAAATATCTCCGCCTCTTACAGGCAGACAGTGGACCCGCTGAGCGTTAAGATTATCGGGAATTTTTACCTGGATACAAATTCAGCTTTTCTGAGGTGCCAGGGTTACGGTAAGACTATTTGGCTATCGAAACTTAATCAGGCCCTGCTGTGGCAGTGTCTCTCATCATTTTCCACAGTGTTTCTGTAAAGCAAAAAGGACATACACATCCTTTCCCCTCCCGTTCTCCTTAAACTCACCTGATTGAATGTCAGTAGACGATATTCCAACTGAGAGATTTGGCTAAGGCCCTCCGACCCCGCCAAAGATCCAGGGGACGTTTGCGCGGTGTAGACACCAGGCTGCTTGATATGCTCGCCTCCTCTGCTGGTTGGGGATGAAACCTCGCGACTCTTTGAGTCCTCCGTCACAGTCTGCGCTCCGCCGGCCCCTCCATGGTCTGCCGGAATGCTGTGCATGCCCTGGGATGATGGCAACTTGGGCGCAGGCGTTCCAGCAGTCGAGTTTGGTCTGCTCACTCCAGAAGATGGTTCCCTGGAGGGAAGAGCACTGTCAGCGCCAGATGGAATGTTCTCATAGACAGGACTGCCGTTCTTTGCCTGCCTTTGATTTGCCTTCGCTTCCGTGCTGGCCACAGACCCCGACTGCCGACCCGGTCGACTCCTACCCGCAAGTTCTGCCAGCGTGCTTCTTTTTCCACCACGATCAGGAGCTAAGTTCTCGTATAATTGACTGCTATTGTCCTCCT